CCAATTTCAAAGAATTAGCATGAGATAAAATAATGCAAGAATATCAAAAATTTTTTATACTGATTACATGTTAAATTAATATAATTTGGATATACTGAGTTAAATAAATAAATAAATAAAGCTCAACATTCAGAAAACTAATATCATGGCATCCGGTCCCATCATTTCATGGCAAATAGATGGGGAAACACTGGAAACAGTGCCTGACTTTATTTTGGGGGGCTCCAAAATCACTGCAGATGGTGACTGCAGCTATGAAATTAAAAGACGCTTTCTCCTTGGAAGGAAAGTTATGACCAACCTAGATAGCATACTAAAAAGCAGAGACATTACTTTGACAACAAAGGTCCGTCTAGTCAAGGCTATGGCTTTTCCAGTGGTCATGTATGGATGTGACAGTTGGACTATAAAGAAAGCTGAGCGCCGAAGAATTGATGCTTTTGAACTGTGGTGTTGGAGAAGACTCTTGAGAGTCCCTTGAACTGCAAGGATATCCAACCAGTCCCTCCTAAAGGAGATCAGTCCTAGGTGTTCTTTGGAAGGACTGATGTTGAAGCTGAAACTCCAATACTTTGGCCACCTGATGCGAAGAGCTGACTCACTTGAAAAGACCCTGATGCTGGGAAAGATTGAGGGCAGGAGGAGAAGGGGATGACAGAGGATGAGATGGCTGGATGGTATCACCGACTCGATGGACATAGGTTTGGGTGCACTCCGGGGGTTGGTGATGGACAGTGAGGCCTGGTGTGCTGCGGTTCATGGGGTTGCAAAGAGTCGGACACGACTGAGTGACTGAACTGAACTGAACTGAGTTAAATAAAACATGTTATTTAGTGGATATCACCTGTTTCTTTTACTTTTTTAATGTAACTACTAGAAAATTTTAAATTACAATGAAGCCTGAATTATATCACTAATTCTGTTGGACCGTGCTGTTCTAGAAGACTGCATTATGGCCAAAAAGGAAGTCTGGGCAATGCATGGTTCTGAAAAGGCTAATTATGGTGTATGCCATCTTTGTGAGGCATGGACCAAAGATACAACACAGAATGAGCCAAGTATCATCAAGCCCACAAATCACAAAAATTCTGATGGCTCACATGGGAACACAATTATAGTCGGGAGGAACCTGCAAGGTATTGCTGGTGATTCCAAAGTAAATGGGCTCAAAACTAAAAGAAGTGAGGGCATAAAAATCATTCTGTTTCTCCTTCCAGGTAAAGCACAAATATCTGAAGGAGAAATAAGTCTATGAAACGCTTGTTAGAACTGAAGACCAATCTAGCTCCAGCACTTTCCCTTGACCAATGACTATTTCACACACACATTTGAAAAGACCCCGATGCTGGGAAAGGTTGAAGGCGGGAGAAGAAGCGGACGACAGAGGATGAGATGGTTGGATGGCATCACCAACTCAATGGACACGAGTTTGGGTAAACTTCAGGAGTTGGTGATGGACAGGGAGGCCTGGCATGCTGCAGTTCACGGGGTCGCAGAGTCGGACACAACTGAGCGACTGAACTGAACTGAACTGATACTCTATCTAGAATCATGCTTTATTTGGCTGACAGAGCTCCTTAGTGCATGCAAACTGGTAAATATCAACAATCCACTTACATTCCTTATACCCAATAAATGTTCAGAAAATAACTGATAATCTCTACATCCCACACAATTATCAACCAGAATACTGAAGGGACCTGTAGGGATTCAAGTGCCCCAAGAGAGGCCCTTGTCTTACTGAATTCTCAGCACCCAGCCCAGTACTAGTGACACAGTAAGTGCCCAGTAAATATTTGTTAAATACACAAAAAGTGGTAGTATATTAGAAGGTAAAAGTCCACTTCTATATGGAAAGGGCAGGAACCAGAAATCTTAGACTGGTGAGCACTTAGAAATGAAGAGCCAGGAAGAAGCCAGGAAAGGCCACCAAAAACCAAGCCACCCAGTTGGGCCATGAATCTCTTTCTGCCCAACACCACCTGTGCAGAACAGGAACTTGATGTTCACAAGACCTTTGACAAAGTCTTTTACAACACCTTTTAAAAATATAGAGAAACAGCAGGCCTAATGACAAAGCAGTTATAAGACAGTAACGAACAGAAAATCATAAAGACAGACAGGTTGAGAGACGGAGGTCAACGTGAAGAAAATTTTCAGTAGTGTACACAGGAGTCCCTCTGGGTCAACATTTGCTTCAGTGAGTGGGGAGAAGCGTGAAAGGTATGTTTGTAAGTCACGTAAAAGTAGCAGGGTAAGTGTAGCAGTGGATATGGTTCAGAAGATCCTCATCAGGCCTGAATATCGAAAAGAACATGATGAAATCTAATAGAAATAAATGTAGGTGGTCTGATTAGGTATGCAAATAAGTCAGAATTAGAAATAAAAATAAGAGATAAATGTAAGATGAAGGCGATCTAGTCTGGCAGCAGCTCAGCTGTTTCTCAAGATTGCCTGCCGAATGCTAATGCAGAGGCAAACTGCCTCAGAAGAAATGCAGTTCTAAGTACAGCTTTTTGTTAGTGCTTTTACATTTTGCATCAGCTAGTCCACACTCAGAACATTGTGACAACAGGAATTCTGAGGAACAAACAAAGGAGAACAACAAACAGGGATAACTGAAGGGATTAGAGATGCTTTTGAAGAGAAAGCCCACAGGTGATGTAGTAGAAACCCTCACATTCTTAAGAGTTTTCAGTCAGAAGTCGTTGGGTACACTTTGTCTGTTTTCCAAAAGGGACTTTTTTGAGGAAGGGAAGGAGTCACAGATCTTTTTTAGAATCTAATAGAGCCATGGGTCCTCCCCCTAGGAAAAAAAAAATGTACACACATATGTTTTATAAATAGTTTCAGGGGGTTCTAAATCAGATTAAGAACCCTTGGTTTAGAAATTCTAAGGACCCAGGTTTCTGTTTTATATAAAAAATTATTTCTCCCTTGACCTCTAAAGCAATACTCCTGATGAGGAATTGAGAGAATTCCTACCCTGGGCAGAGGGGTGGGACAGGGATCTGGAGCCATTCACCTGTAGTGTCCCTCACAATTTTAGGAGTCACTAATCTGAAAGAAATTTTTGAATTGTTGCACAGTTTTAAGGCAAACACTTAAAAACACTTTTTATTGTCATTCACCCTACTATTTTAAATACTCTCAATGCCCATTACACTCTAGTAATTGAAACAGGGTCAAAACAAAGGTCACCCAAGCACTCACATCGCTTATGAGACATATCTGACAACAACTTCACTCACCAGGTGCCCAACCACAATGGCAGCAGGCATACAGAAATTATTTCCTGTCCCCAAGCAATAAAATATTTCTCTCACAAGCTGCTTTTTGAAAAACATGACTGCACAAAGGGCTGAGGTAGCGGGAAACCTATAGCATTTGCAATGTTATAAGCTCTTGGTTTGCATTTCTGGTTATAAGGATTTTTCTAAGCAGCTGGCTTATGTTATCATCCCAGGACATACCCACGAGTTATCTCATTAGCAGCATTACATAATTTCTATATTCCGAGTTTATCTTCTTGGTATCTCATTGCTGTCTAAACTGGAAGAGCTTTTTCACATTAGCTAGAAAGGAGGAGATACATCTCAGCTTTAATTCTATCCTTAAAAGATAGAATGAAAGCAAATGTAAGTCCTTAATACTGATGCTTACTTTTTAAAAACCAGGTTCTCAGAAATTCTAAGCAGGATAAGCTTTCTGTTATTCTTTTGAGAAATTTTTCCTGGATTTTCCTCGACTTTCTTTTATTTAAATTCCTACCCCTAGTTCTGCTCATAATCTTGAAAGAGCTCCAATCCTGAAATAACTATAGATACATTATAGTCAAAATTACTTAATGTTTCCTACCTACAATCATATAAAACTATTATAATGAGTTTTATAAATGCCTTCTGCCAACACAGGGTGCTGCTGTCGGGAGGCAATTTTCATAACAAGTAGGTGTCCGAAAGGGCTGTGAGTCTCAAGAAGGTGTGTGTGTGTATGTATGTACGGGGTGAGATTAATTTGTCTATGGAACCACAATGATAGATGCTACTCACTTAAAAATCCCAATTTTATCTTTATAATTTTTCTATTGGACTGAAAAGGTATCACTGAAGCCCTTCATTTCTCCACCTTCTCCCCTTTCCATTGCTGTAATTGCCCATTCATATCAATTTCCCCAAACAGAATAAAAAAATCTGTCATCAGTGGTAGACTTTAAGTGAAATGGAGGAATAATATTTTTTTAGAAATAATAATCCCATAAAGATTAGTGACAGTAGATCTATTTTCTATACAAGAGATTGTCATATTTCATCAAAACCTGTCATATAGCTCTCAACCAAAGAAAAGGCGTCCAGACGGTAAGGGGCCACAGAGAATTTTAAGGGTTACTTTTGAGCTATACTTTTCATTTGCTTTAGCTATAAATGCAGCCAATGAGAATTATATAGGATAGTGGTCCTAAACCTTGAATGTAGCAGTCATCAGGAAGGCGTCTGTCAAAATCCAGATTGCCAGGCCCCATACCCCAAGTCTGTGATTCAGTAGGTCTGGGGTGGGTGAGGCCCCAGAGGTTGCATTTCTAATAAGCTCAGAGGTGATTCTGCTGCTGTGGCTAATAGTCCAGGAATAATCCTTGGTGAATGACTGGTACAGGAGGATCCCGGATATCTAACTGGTTGCAACACCGTACTTCCTTTCTTAATGCAAACTTTCATGGCTAAGGTTTTGGCATCATACTTTAGGATTAGAGCCTAAAATGGCTGACAGCTTCCTGTGGCTTAAGAACCTATGTAAGCCACATCCTTCTCTAACAATCCTGTAGAAAGTATTGATAAAGAAGACAACTCGCTTCTGGAAGAAGAAATCAAGCTGTTTCTTGAGTTTCTCCCTCACTTTCTTTAAACTTCTTACTAAGTATCTGGAGTAAAATTCAACAGGAAAATGTTTAAAACCTATTCTTGATGGGATAGCCTTAACAGAAAGAAGATAGGCACACTTACCAGAGAGGAAATATGCCCAGTCGTGTGGTGATAAAAACCATGGCAAACATAACAAACAGGAGATCACAAATTTTCTGAAACTTGGCATAATTTGCCATTTTGGCAGCCTATGAAAGGAAGGGATGTGAAAGATTAATTGAGTTAAACTGATAAATGAAAAGCTTCTTTCAATATGTATGAGTCTCCTTTAAGACATAACTTACCAGATGCATAAAACTGCCTGCTACTTTGAAATGTCATGCATCATGCATCATATTTATAAATTACCCATAAGTCAAGTGAAATGCAGTATTAGCCATAAGTAGAACTACTGACTGTTACAGATTTAATAAAATATTCAGCAACCTGAAAAATTCAATTATATGGTTGACTTCAGGAAAACAGAAAAATAAGAAATTCTTGCATTACAGATAATATTAGCAAGCCAAAGACACCAAAACAGGAATTTGGCATAACAGGTCAAAATAGAAAGCACTAGATAATCCTTTAAACCTTTAATGAATTCCAAATACTAAGGTCACAAACTTTATAGACAATATATTGAGCCTTCCTGTACTTTTTCCTCCTACATACTCAGAGTTATAGGTTTTTCTTAAACAGGTATAAGGCGGTCTCTGGAGACAGTTTCTTGGGTTATCCTCACAAATTTAGAAATAAAGAATGTGTCAAGATGATGTTATTTCAGTGCATCCATTTAGGTATCATTTTCAGATTTACATTATTGGGTCATTTTCTAGATGAAAGTCACTAATGTTCAGAATGTCTATGAGAAGTACACTAATAATTTATGGTAGTGATATAAATGACCAATTTTTATACTATAAATTAGTCGAGGAAAGAAATACATCCCTTTCTCTACCATTTACTTTTAATAGATGATTCTAAGTAAGAACAGGTGACACTGAAAACATAATTGTGCTTGATTACCTCTTTTTACATTTTCACATATAATTCAGAGTACCCACACACTGGGTTATAAACTGAAGATGTATTTCAAATTCATGACATTATTTTCTACTTCTTGTAAAGTTAAATTAGCTGAGCCAGACTTGAAAGGATTGTTGACAGTATCCATAGAAGATCTATAATTGAAGATCTTTAAGTAAAATATGAAGCTATGAGAGAAATACATTCCTAAAAGGAAATATCAATATCTATTAACTGAGTGGAAGCCAGGATTATGAACCTTTAATTTCATGAATACTTTGTATGTGACATCACAACTTATACTAAAGGAATAAAGAAAGCACCTTCTGTCTCCTTTTGGCCATGTAAACCATGTAGTTTTTCTTTTACGTTCATTCACCAGTATTCAATAAAAAGCATTAAACATCAATTTTTCTGAAATGTCTAAGCCATAGATTCCACTTTGAAGAGTCAACATATCTCATTATTTGGATATTCTTAAGCATTATTTTATAATGTCAAATAGAATCCAAGGGATGAAGAACATTTCCTTTTAAACCTTTGTTTAACACATGACTTGGACTTCTGGATTATTTTTCTTTTCTAGATAAAAGTGGTAGATGATGATTCAGCCCACATTTTCTGAATTATGGCTCTGCCAAGCACTAGGCCATCCATTTCCACAGACATAAGAGCTGGCAGATTATACAGGATTGATTTCAAAATGGTAGACTGCTGTATACATTTCTACCTCCAAGCACACTGAAGATTTAACCACATGGTAACTGATTTTCAGGGAATTGCCTTTGTACTAATTTTATTTCTTTTAAAAAATGTGCTGAATAGAATCTAGCTTGAATCACTTAAAAATAGTGCCAACCTTTCATATGACATATCTAGCCCATTAGGACTATTTTTCTGTTTCATAACCTTATAGGGACCAGAGTCTTAAATGAAGTGCTGTATATACTTCAAACCTTGACTAATTGCCTTTATAGTAGATTCAATTTTAGGACCTGAAATTTCTGCTTATATTGCAATAATAAATCATTATTTGAGGGCACTTCTTTTTTATATTCACAGTGACAGCACAAGCTTCAAAGGGGCAGAACTGTAGGGCAAAAGGAATAAAAAAATCAGAATACAGACTCTAAGACCCATTTCTACATGGAATTTGTACTTTGGTAAGTTTATTTTTGGCCAATTATGTAAGTTTCTTAGCATTAAAGTGAAAAACTGTAATTATATAACCTTACTGAGCATGTCTCTTCATGGGGGCCAATATTAAGAGTAAATACCACATCAAAATTTTACTTGGGATTTCATCTTTTGAAATATGTTTAGAAGCATTTTTCTTTTTCATTCTTTTTTGCTATTTTAATAATTCTAAGTGGTAATGGTTTAGAAAGTTAACTAAAGTGCAATCTATATCTTTTCAGGTGTTCTTAATATGTATAGGCATAGAAAACAGTTTTCATGTAAAATTTGCAATGCATATATACTTTCACTGTAAAAATACTAGGATAATATTTAATATTAATATACATAATCTATACGTATATATAGGCAATAAAAACTATGACTATTAATTTCATCAGAATGGACAACTACTAACTATAGTGAGTTATACATACTTTCCAGATAAATCAGTGTGAAACTTGCAACACTAGAAACAGCCTATTCCAATAGTAATTTTCCCACTGTAAAACATTAATTTCTTAAGTGTGGAAGGGTAAAGGTTTTCATTATTCTGTTAATAAAGAATGCTAACTTGGTGAGTAGTTTTTGCACACAAATTTGTATATTCAAGTCTCACTTTCACCAATTAGACCTACAGAGAAACACTCTGCAGGTTCAAAGAAGTCATATACTACCTTCTCCCAACACCATCTAGCATAACCTAGAAGAAGTGAGGATCTGAGGGATTCCTTAAATTTCAGATTTTGTACTCTTATATATGAAAAGAAAACTCTCACCTCTAGAAGAGCATCGGCTGAATCGTGGAGACAGAGGATCAGGGTCCCTACTCGGGCCATGTTGTTGACATATGAAAAGGTAATCAAGAGAATAGCTACAAGGTGGTGCAGGAACATAACGCCAAAGTCCTGGGAAGCAGAAGACACAGGCATGTTAGTTAGGATTTAGCAGCATCACAGCTTTTCCATCTGTTCATCCATTCATCTAATACTTCTGAGGAACCCAATGGGCCCAGCACTGGGGACACTAAAGTGAGTAACATATAGTTCCTACTCTCAGAGTTCACCATGTCCTGGCAGAGACATGCAGGAGACCAGTGGCTCTGGACAATGTGGAAAACACCAAGACTAAGGCCAGATCATAAAGGCTGTTTTGTACTAAGCCAAGGAATTTGAAGCTATGAGAAAAACTGCCATATAGAATTTGTGAATGAAAAAATATTGCCTGCCATATCAGTAGACAAAGGATGTTGCAGCCATCAAATTACAGTCTCCTCTAGAGTGAGCACTGAGGAAACTCGATGGAAAGAGCATGCCCACCAGCAGTCAGTCACTGCAGTGCACCCTGACCGGGCACCGTGAGGAGGCTCAGGATGAGAAAGCAGAAGACACTGGCCCCAGATAGCTGAGGAGCATGTCAAAGGAATGAATGATACACATGGGATATTCATCTTCCTATACACAGAAGAGCACTAAGTTCCTTAACTTGAGCTATCTGGTTTTCTTTAATAATAATCTTTTGCTATTCTGACTACCTGGTCTTTGTTGTAGAAACTATATATCTTGGGTCCCCCTTCGTCTCTTCGGAGTAATCTCTCAGAGTGATCTGAGATGCTATGTCTGCAGCTTAAGTCCTCAGTTTTGTCAATTTTGGGACAATAATTTTCAACTTTTAAATTGTACATTTTTTTTTCAGTTGACAGGTTTCAAGCTCAGAAAGGTATTATTTGGATTTCTACATGAGAAAATTCTTTTAGGCAGCAGTGCAGGTCCAACTGGACCACTTCTCTAACTACTAGTGGCTAGGGCTTGGCATCCTTCTCCTGGAATTTGCCCAACAGAATGTTAAAATAAGAATCATAACATGTTGGCATTTCTGATGGCATTTCTACACAAATAAGCTCTGAATTTTAACTATTATCTGTCTGTAGTCATTAGAAAAAAAAAAAAAAACAACTGGCAAACATAATAGAAACTTGACCATCCTTATTTTGATCAACTTTAAGGGAGCTGCTTCCTGGCCCATGTGAAAAGATCATCTTTCTCCAGTACTGATTTATCTCCTGACCACCTGGACACATTTATTGAAACATGGAATTTATATTGCTTGGAAATGCTTTTACTGACACTTTTATTTAGTCTGTATTTCTCCCAGAGTAAACTTGAAGTCTCTGGGACTTCAGTGCCAAGACCAGCTCTAATGATGATGTACTTGAAACCATGGACCATTCAGAGATAAATGAGACAAAATTAGAAGCATATTATGAAACTGAGAGAGAGATAAAAAAAAAAAGAAAGTGAGTGTATGTACAGATACATACACTCTTCATTAAATAGCTATTGATGTCACACAGTTTGGGGTCTGAAAGTTCAACTATGATGACTTAAATGGTTCTAAAACATTTAAACAATGTTTTTTTGCTTATATCCTGAAAGTAACTAATGATAATCTATAAGTAATAAAATACTGCACCTATAAGGTCCTTTTGCCATCTATTTCCTTGTATAGTTCCCATATTGAAAAATTCTAATCATTTTAATTTATATAACTTAAACCTATAAAGCTACGGATTCTTCTACTGTTTAAATTCCTGTGATACGGAACTCTTTAAGAATATCTTTTTATGTTTTATAAATTCAAGCTTTAAATGACAATGAGGAAGTAAAGCCAAATGGGCATATTTTAAAAAACACAATGTTTAAATGGTTCTGTATACACTTTGGTGTCCAGAGGTTACTTTTCTGCATTTAAGGATAACCATAATGACTTATTACTGGGCTTCCCCAACAGCTCAGTGGGTAAAGAATCTGTCTGCACTGCAGAAGACAGGAAATGTGGGTACAATCCCTGGGTCAGGAAGATCCTCTGGAGGATGAAAAAGCAATCCACTCCAGTATTCTCGCCTAAAAAAGTCCCATGGAGAAAGGATCCTGGTGGGTGACAGCCCAAAGGGTTGCAAAGAGTCAGACATGACTGAGTGACTGAGCATACATATTGGTTTTTTAATTTATTCTAGTAAATAGCTCATATTTACTGGAATAAACAATGTATTAGTTTCCTAAGTAAGGTCAGATACATTAAAAAAATGAAATAGAGCTATTTTTCTTATTTTCAGTTAACCTAGTCTCAAAATGAGCTGTGTGGCATGATGGTAGATACCACTGTTGGCAGAATCACATCTTGCATCAGTTCATCCTAATGCCCATAGCAGAACTATAGAATGAAGTTGTGCAAACTCCTGCTGCCTGTGGACCTATCACCACGCTCCTTCCTCTAGACCCACATTTGCATCTCTAATTAGTCCTCAGCTCATGGCGAGAGAAATGAAGACCATGCTCTGAGTTTAATCAGTGACCATATACAGACTCAACTTACCAGTTTTACCTATTTCTCTTGATTTCTCTGATGCTTTTGTAGTTATCTAGGGTTTTCCTAAAGCATTAAAGGTGAACAATACCAAAAGTGCCTTAAGCATATAATAAAAATTGCTCTGATAATGTTTCCCAGGGGAAGATGAAATCTCTTCATTCCAGGCTGTTATCAGAAATGTATTCGGTTTCATCACCTAGAGTAATCTACCAGACAATAGCTACTTCAAAACAATGGATCAATTAAAGTGGAGCTAACCTATCAACTGGTATTTTATACTGTCTCATAAACATAATAAATAAAAACATAGAGTGTTAATTCAACAGTTCAGTGAGTTTATATTCACCCATGCTGAATACATAGATTTTAAAATCTAACTAGTTGAGTACCTGACCAGAACAATACTTTCCACATTTCCCATTGTTTAGCCCAGAATGATTGCTCTTGATTCCCTGAAAGAGGAGAGGTTTTCTCGATTTAATTTTAAAATGAATATAAATTGATTAAAACCTTATGGAGGATTAGGGCCATTTTATAATTAAGTTTCCTAATACATATCTGATATAAATGTCAATAAACAAAACAATGCCCTTGGCAATATAGCAAGGTTGCCCTAAAAACAAGAGACTTGTTTTTTAGACAAAGTTTGCTTTGTGAAGATGATTTTTGCATATAAATAACCTGGTCCTAGAACACATTTATTACTGAGGGACTCAGAGCTATGCTCATGGCAGAAGACCAATTTTCATTATGCTGTCATATCTGTATGAATATAAAAAGCATGAATAATGGATTTTGTCTTTTACATTTCTGCTTCAGAAAGCATTATACACAATGAAATACCTTTAATAAAAGCCATGCAATCATTATTTTTTGTGTTACTCTCATCCCCTTACTGTGACATTTCTCTGAATAGGCAGTGAATCTGGTACAAATAACAGTTTTTAAACAAATTGTCAATTTAGCCTTTATCAACACATTGTGGGAAACTCCCATCTTCTTGTTTGTTACTGCTGAAAGTCGCTGGTATATTCATATATTTAGACCCAGGCAAGCTGCAGGAAACTTAGCATTTAGGTTGAGAATGTTTCTTCCATTTTTAGTAGCATCAATTGGGTAGAGAGACTGTGATTTCTTGTTGGCCCTCATACTGGAGACAGATCCCAAAGCCCTTATTTCGAACAGACTGGCCTGGCTGCCCGCATCAGTGGTCCCCAGTCTCCTGCTGCTCTGTCACATTGTTTCTGGGCACATTCACAGCCACTGTCAAGGGTTCCTTCTACCCTCCCTGCATGATATTTACCTCGACCCCAGCCCTCATTCTAGTGGCATCTCCTACGGTAGTTATCAGAGATAGGAAAAAATATAGATACGGTCTTGACTCAAGTACAATTAGAATAAGACTAAAACGAAGAAATTGAAGGAAAAGCCATCCATTTTAATACGAGAAGCTGGGAAGAAAACGTTGGGCTTTTTCCACATTACGTTTCTGAATGGCATTTAGAGAACCCAGAACAGAGTCTCAGTCTATCTTGTGTAGCTTCCACATCAGAAACTTGTAGGTGCAGATAAACTTCTAGGTACTTGGGATCCATCCCCAACTGTTATTAGTACAATGAGAATGGGCATCCTTAACTCAGTTCTCCAGGGGAATTCTCTGCACAACAAAATATTAGCACCGAAGGGCCACAGGGACCAAAGTCTGATGTTCTGTATCATGGAACTCCATTTGCAGTGGCCAGGCTGAACAAACAAGGCTTCGAAATAATTCTGTTTTCAGAAAATACATAAATTTACCTCGATGTACTTATTCTTATGAAAGCAAAATTAACTCATTTCTTATTAAAAAAAAGTTCCACTACAAACAAGAAGCTTGTTCTCTAAATTCCCATTTGCTGGCTAGAGTATTAACAATTTTATGCAGCTTCTTTTGGGAATAATCTTTGCAACAAATAAAGAAAAGCATTGGTGAAGCTTTTCAAAAAAGAATTAAGAAGATCAAGATATTAACTGATGGTTAATTCAGATGTGCATGGGTGGTGAAAAATATGAAATATCACTAAAGTTCAAGACAAAGAAAAGACTCTTCTCTCTGGGATGCAAATGACAGAAGCAGCTTTCCCCAATTAAACAAACCATTAATAAACACTCTAACTCATGAATTGTTGTTGTTTAGTTGTTCAGTCATGTCCAATTCTTTGCAACCCCATGGATTGTAGCCTGTCAGGCTCCTCTTTCCATGGGATTTTCCAGGCAAGAATATTGGAGAGGGTTGCCAACTCCTTCTCCAGGAGATCTCCCCGACTCAGGGATAGGAATCAGGTAATACCAGGTTACCCATTTAGCAGATTTTCAAAAGAAACAGAATGAAAGAAACATAATTTGAAGCTGATTTCATTTTATGGCCACTACAGCAGTAATAGAAATCTCTCATTTCTATATTTTTTTTAAATAGTTTTCCTATTTGAGTCTTCAAGGTGCAATGAAATTAATAGGGGTTTTTTTTTTGTTTGTTTTTAAACAGAGTAACATGTTCTTT